AAGCCTGAGACTCAATGCAGAGGACAAGGAGGACCTTGACACAAATCAGTCCTCCCCCCCAAAAAAACCCAAAGCAGCCTGCTCCAGTGCACAAACTAACACAGCTTCCTCCAAAACTAAAGGGAATTGGGTGCATCGAGTACAATGCAATAAAAAAAAAGAGAGATTTCTTGTAATCCACACCTAAAAAGACAGAAATCAGAGAGTCAATGCAGTGCTGACACTTTGTTTCACATTATTGAGGGAAGCAGGAGGGATTCCAAGGCGAGCATACATCAGTGTATCCATACACTGGAGCCACAAAGACACAGCCTACTCCACAGCTTCACACTGCTCAGTGTACAGAATGCAGAATTACAGGCAGGGAGGGAGGGAGAGGGAGGATTGGGCTGGGAAAGCTCAAACAGGCATGTATGGAAGCCTAGAAAGCACATTATTAGAACCCTCACTCTCAAAAATCACTGCTGCCTGCCTCAGGACCACGGGCTGCCAAGGAAACAGGAAACAAATTAAAAGGTCAATTGAAGACAACAGCTTTTATGTGGTTCATAACCTTTCTGACAAAAAACAAAATTACTTAAATAGAATTAGCTTAAAAAAACCTAATCTACAATTTTAACATTACCTCAGTTACACATTCCATAAATGGAATGATATAGAACACAATTAATTCTGTAAGGCTCCTTCATTGCCATGCTCCCTGTATTAAAGGGGTCTCCATTGCATTAGGGAATACAGGGCTGCTACAGTAATCAGGGTATTCTGGGTAGTTCCTGTGTCTATTAAAAACATTATGGCTCCTATGACACAGAATGAAGTTGGGAACCACAGATGTAAGAATTTATACAGGATTATTTTCTAAAGTGAGCAATCAAAGTAAATTTCAGATTTAAGGCTACAGTAGCAGAACTGAAAGCATTGCTGCCTGAAATAATTTTTCCGGTTTGGCTATTTTAGCCTTAAATTTGACATTTACTTTGAATTCTCACTTTAGCAAATAACCCTGATAGTCAAATCAGTGCATCAAACAGTGACAGGCCTGACTTGCAACTATGTTACAAAGGCTGATTGTATCGCTCTAATCTCTGGCCTGTGAGATCGCAGTCCATTTTAATCCCTTCTCCCTGTAGAGTTGTTTTTTTTATTTTCTGTCACTTTATCCACGACTCACATCTCTAATTGATCTCTAATAAAATAATTTAAGTGGAGCTCTAGTGTACCTGAGTAATGATATTGAGGATGGGTACAAATGGGGAAACAATTTACACAAATAAGGAGAGAGCCAAAAGGTCACCTGGCTCTAGTGTATAGGATCCCTTGGATGGTTAAGGGAGATCCACCGCCCTCTTCTGTGTCTTTAAAACCCAAATAGATGTCAGCAGGGAAACTTTGAGGATATTGATAAATAAGTAAATGTATTAATGTAAATAAAATAAAACAAAATCTGATCAAGTGATCAATATACTTAAGAAACAATGCAGTGTTCAGTTCAAAATGCGTTTCGCCATTAGCTGGCTTCCTCAGTTGGTGAATACTGTATAAAGAGAGTTCCGTGTTTTATACCTCCTTAATTGCAAAATCGCCGGCATCTGTGTACCCAGAAGTATTCTCTGTGGAACGCACTTTTCGTCCGTCGGCTGGTTGATTCTATTGTGGTGTTAAGGGGATCCCTCACATAAGTGTTGAGCCCATCTTATCCATTGTATTTCTTTGTACACTCTCTTTGTATTTGGATTGTTATTAAAGACTGTTTGTTGTCTTGGAGTATCAAAACCAAACTCACGCTTCTGTTCTGTACACGGGATTGAAAATCTATCAGCATGATGGACAATTTCAGTAGAATCAGTCATTAAAAAGCAAAGCAAAAAAAAATGTACATCAATAAAACACAAAAATTGTTATCTTGTGTTAAAAGAAATAAATCTTTTGTAACTCAGTGCTGAAAAGAACATTATGCTATAAATACATTCTTTAAACTATTTCCTGTGTTCTGCACTTGTTACAATGTCACTAAATGACAATCATGATGTGGTGGGCAGTGCATTGTGGGAATTATGTTCTAAGCACAAAAGAGTGAAAATCCACTATTACATGCTTCTTAAGAACAAAACAACTTTAGCTTAAAGGACCACTATAGGCACCCAGACCACTTCAGCTTAATGAGGTGGTCTGGGTGCCCGGTGCATTTAGGTTCAACCCTTTTTGCTGTAAACATAGCAGTTTCAGAGAAACTGCTATGTTTACCTATGGGTTAATCCAGCCTCTAGTGGCTGTCTCATTGCCGCGCATGCGCATTCAGCCGGTGACGGTGAAAAGAAGGAGGAGAGTTCCCTGTGCCGAGGGAGCCCGGTGGGGGAAAAGGGTATGTGTTTAACCCTTTCCACCCCCTAGAGCCTGGCGGGAGGGGGACCTAGAGACCCTATAGTGCCAGGAAAACAAGTATGTTTTCCTGGCACTATAGTGGTCATTTAATGAAGCAGTTTTGGTGTATAGATCATGGTCCTGCAGTCTCACTGCTCAGTTCTCTGCAATTTAGGAGTTGTATCACTTTATGCAGCCCTAGTCACACCCCCACTGCATGTGACTTACATATCCTTCCTGAACATCGAATATTTAAACTTCCTTTTTTGCACATGCTGTTTAATTTAAAATTTAAAATCTCCTGTTCTGTTAATAGAATTCTAGATCCTGCAGTTGCCTAATGTATGTAACTTAAGTTAAATTTAGAGAACTGGAGATAAAAAATAAATAAATTTAAGTTTCATCTGATTGAAAATGAAATAATTTTGTTTTCGTGTAGGCTGTGTTAGTCACCATCAGGGAAGGTGTAGCTAGGGCTGCATAAACAGAAACAAAAGTGATTTAACTCCTAAGTGGCAGAGAATTGAGCTGTGAAACGTAAGAGGCATGATTTATACACAAAACCTGCATCATTTAGCTAAAATTGTTTTGGTGACTTTAGTATCCCTTTAAAGACCAATTTACTTGCAGGAGATAAAATCTTATAAAGCAAGTTAGCATCTGATTGAAAATGAAACCATTGTTTACATTTAGGCTGTATGAGTCACAGCCATGAGAAACGTAAAAGCAGAAACAAAAGTGACTTAACTCACTTCAGCAGTGGAGCTGAATGCGCGTCCAGAGCCACGCACGCATTCAAACCGCCCATAGGAAAGCATTACTCAATGCTTTCATATGGACATCCAGCATGAGTTCAGTGCGATTTTCACACTGACAATCACGGAAGCGGCCTCCAGTGGCTGTCTCCCTTGTTGGATTAACCCTGCAATGTAAAGAAGTTGGATTAACCCTGCAATGTAAACATAGCAGTTTCTCTGAAACTTCTATGTTTTCAGCTGCAGGGTTAAAACTAAGGGAACCTGGCACCCAGACCACTTCATTGAGCTGAAGTGGTCTAGGTGCCTATAGTGATCCTTTAATGCATAAAGGTTCTTGTAAATATACTGTTTAGTGAGGAAAAGACATTCCATTCATGAGATTATCATTCTGATCTATGGCGTCTAGTATTATCCTATAATCCCTAGTCAGGCAGTAGTTTATTCTGCAGTAGCAGGTCCACCAATCACATAGAACGATTGGAACGCTTTGGTAACTTTTAGCAGCTATACTGCAGCTACTACCAATTTATACACAGCCTGGTTCATGGAGTATTGAACTGGGTACCTGCATTGATCAGCACAACTGCTTGCTGTCCGTTGCCCAGGAGAGAGAAGACAATCCAACTTGTGTGGGTGGCTTACAAATACTGCATACACAATGTAGACAAGGAACCGAGCATTCTGTCTGTCTGACTGCCAGCTCTGATGGGTGCTGGGAATTCCAAGTGACATGAGAATTGCAACATTTTTTCCACTTCCACAATTGTGACCTAAGATAAGCACCTACTTATTTCTAGTGCAACATTTTGTATTTTTAAGTAACATTTCCCAAGAGTAAATTTTAAAAACTTTAAGGAATTCCATAAGTTGGTTCCCTCTGATACCCTCCCAATGCGCCCAACCCTCACCCAGCATGGAAAAGGTTAAAAACCTTTTAGTAACTTACCTAATTCCAGCTCTGATCTCTCTTGGAGTTTGGTTGGCGTTCCACCTCCTCCAACCTCATCTGACGGTCCCTTAATAAATTTTCCTGAATGTATACTGTAATTCAGGGTTGGGCAACATTCGGCACTCTGGATGTTGTTGACTCTCACAATGCTCTTTGAGCATCATGGAAGTGTAGTCCACAACATCTGGAGCGCTGAAAGTTGCCTACACCTCCAATAAAATGGGTTGTGGATGCCTATAAGAAATACCATGCTACCATACTAATAAAAATACAATATTAGATCCCTGTAGCCCTTCAAGCAGATAGCCTACAACTTAAAACATTATAGACAAGTAATGGTCACGGTTTACGGTCATCATAATCTTGGTGTGAAAGACCTAGAGCCACACATTGCTACTAAGTAATCACCAGCAGTTCTGCACAGCTACTACTGACATGACATAAACAGGACATATTCGTCAGTGGCAAGTGACATTGAACTTTAAAGATAAAAGATGGGGGGGACGGAGCCTGACCGGGGAGCTGAGCAGACATGCTTTCTGTGAGCTCCCGAGCCTGGACCAGATTTTGGCCAAAAACCGGGGGTAAAACACCCAATCCAGAACCCCTACCTGCCTTACCGTGTACTACGGAGACTAGGGAACAGGGGGACACCTCGCAAGCCCGAATGCCCGCAGAACTCCCGGAATAGAGACTTGGGGCCTGCACCGCACAGGGCAGGGAAGAGATGGCCGCTCTCATGGCCCATCTAAACAAGCAGCACCCGAAGTATCGGGCTTCCCCCCCCCCCAGAGGTGGTTATCCCGGTCCCAACCAGCATGTCTCACAAACCAATCTGGATTACAAATGAAAGCAACAGCCTGAAACGAGCATCAACCGAGCAAACTGCACCTATTAAAATGGCGCAGTGGACCATGCGACTGAACTCGCACCCCCCCCGGCCCCTCCATGAGCGCCTGGAGGCCCTGCTCCGACAATTCTGGGCAAAATTGGAGCACAGGGAGGCCCAGCAAAACCCCACTCACCACAAGGTGGAGGAACTGGCTGAAGTCGTAGGGCGGACGGAGCAGATCCCGGGCAAAGCTGCCTTACCTCGAAGGGCGGTATGCCCATCCAGACTGGGGGTTACTAGGAGACTTCCTCTAAAACACCAACCACACTGCGGGAAGGTCACCCACCGCTGGCGGAGGACAACTATCAGGACCTTCCACAGCGCCCACAAAGGGTTACCGAGAGGTAACCGAGGTCTGGAGCGGGAAAAAGGCCCCCACCGCACAAGACCCCCCTCCTCACCCCATGTTCTCCGGATGACCACCACCACAATGCCTAGAAAGAGCCACGACCATGCCAACCGGAGAAAGAAGACCTACGGACCAAGGGCAAGGGCCCCCCTCACAACCCGGAGCAACAGGGCCACGGAAATGCCGTGCTGTGAGATGCTGACAACAAATCTACAACGCCTGCAGCTCAGCCTGACCGCCCGCATGCCGGATAGGGAACCGGTACACCAGAGCAGAGGATGGACTGTCCACTGTGACACGCACTGGGAATTGGCTGAAAGCAGCAATCAAAGCCCTTCCACGCACCCCTCCTGTTGCCAGGCAAACGGAATTATGTAAACCTCATGGGCACACTGGCCGTCCTTACCAAGCTAGTGACTTATATACTAGATCACAGCCTGCTTAATCTCACTCAAATGAACCATAGCATAGCCTGTATGAAAATAACCGACAATTGAATAGTTACTATGCCCTAGTTTGAAATAACAGCCAGTAACGTGTATTTATACCTCTTAATGTGTGTTTATACCACTTACACTGTTGTAACCCTGCATTATAGAAAGGGGCAGTGTTTTACTTTGCTTCACTTTACTTTACGTTACTTTGTCATTCTTAACCTGGCACACTACACTCGGGCCACACATCTGTTCCCCCAAACGCACCCAGCTTGGTCTTAAGCATGATTAGTTAGGCATGCAGTAATAAACTACTGCCCTGCCACATTTATAACACACAAGCATTGCTTCTCCTGACATATAACTGTTATAATCCACTTGATGTTTTGCTTATGGTTATCTCCTTTATTATAAATACGCTACTCTTGTTAGTAATCTTATCGAATGCTTAAATAATATAAAATGAGGCAGTCCCTCATAGGAGATGTTGTACTGTGTTAACGTGACCCCAAGCTGTATGAAAACCGTACATCCCCTCTTCTTTATTCTGTACCCCATTTAACAAATGCCTCAATAAAAGAAAGATTGGCAAAAAAAGATAAAGGATATTATACATATTGCAGCCCCAATGGGGTAAAACTGCAAGGGGTTCCTGACAATACCATTTAACCGTTACGGATCAAGCTAACGGCACTCTGATTGTGCCAACAGTAACCGCTTTAAAGCTGCAATTTTCAGGAATTGAAAGTAAATCGAAGTGGATTTAAAATTTTAGGTGAGAATAGCTAAATTGGAAAAATCCTTTCAAATGTTGGGCCAGAGTAGCCGAGTTGGAGAAATTCCCCAAGTCGACTATGTCTTTAGTCTATTTTTTCCTAAAAGTGGAATTCGCTTTGTATTCCCAGTAACTGACACATAACACATTTTAGCCATTATCTTTGGGAGCGTGACTAACCAGATTGGCCAGTTTTCTTAAACCATACAGGTGCCAAGTACCGACAACTAAAGGTCTTTGTTTTATATTTTAAACACGCAGATATTTTTCACCACGCCATGTAAAACTAATTATTTCTTCTATAAACTAAGAGAAAAAAAAAAGTATTCTGTTCCTCCAAGTCTTGTGTTGTAAATTATAACTGCAAGGAAAGTCTCAAGCACTTCCGCTTTAATAGAATTAATAGAACGTAACAGTCTGTTGATATTGATAAGACTGTCAGATGACTCTCCAGTCTGTCAGACATGTGATCATTATGTTGCCAAGTAAGTGCTGCCCTAGACTTGCAGATTTTATCGTTTCCATTTGCAAGGAGCCGTCACCCAATTAGTTAGAGTCCAGGGCAAATTGGAGGAGTTGGTTAAGTGAATTGTCTTTCCAGTCACACGACATATTAGCCTAACTTAACCCTATTAAATTCAGCTAAATTACTGCAGCCAGCTGCTCACAGCTAGTTGTACATAAGGTATTACTGACAAAGTGAGATTCATGAAAGATTCACAATGGCTGCAAGGAGAAACTAATAGCCGTATTTACTAAATACCAGATTGTAGTGAATTGAAAGTCAAATTGCAAAGAATGTTAAAGGAACACTCCAGTGCACTGTAGTGGTTATGGTGCCAGGAATGTCCTGGCGCACTCCCCAATTAAAGTTGTCAGACAGGCAGAGGAGAAATACAAAGACAAAGTAGTCCCTACATTGTCTCTGTATGTCTCTTGACAAGGTTGGTAATTCAGTGAAATCCCAATACATTCAAAATGAGTATTTTTGACAGAGATTCTATTTTATGAAATACTCTAAATGGGAAAAGTGAGCAGTGCTACTAGACAGAAGGTACAGCTTATGGGTTTATCAGAGCAGAATCTCATCTCCACTAAATGCTTTTAGAAGAATACACAAAATCAGTTTGCATTGATTTCTATAACTGAATCAGTGGACGTTCCGTCTTCAAGGAGTCGTGAAAAATGGAATTCATCTATCTCTTCTGATGTTTTCCTTTACGTATGATCAGATATCAAAAACTGGATTATTAGAAATGCTCTGATCACAGAATCAATAATAGACAAGTGTATCCAAAGTCTGTCCAAACTAGGGCTCACTGGATAGACCCCAACGTGCCAAGGCTTTTTAACTGGGCCCCTGGAACCCCAGACATAAATGTTTAGGCATTCTGTAGTTCACCAGTTCCTGCTAAACAGGACAAAATAAATGTTGCCACCTGCTGGACAGAGTCTCTCGTTCACTCACCAGAGATTAAATCAGACTTTGGCACTTGAAAAATCAACAAAAAAAAAATGTTCACTTTAAAAAAAAAAACTAATATTTTAACTCTAAAGTCAATCGCCAAGGAAAGATTGGTTGTTGGAACAGAGAAGAAGTTACGTGAGGCTTATAAGGCTGAATTCTTTGCAATGCAAAAAAATTATATTCAGCCCACGATAGCACAGTGCTTGGAGGGAAGGTGTTAGGGGTTACTTAAGGACTCAGCAGGAACACATAGGGAATTGCAACCGAAACAAGTCAAAGAGAATTCTTGCGAACAATGCAGCATTTCCAGTGCAGAAATTCCCGAGTGTGTGTGTGTTTGGGGTTGGAGTGAGTTTTGAGGTTGGAAGAATTGGATAGAGATTAGACAAAGGGGGTGACAACAGCAAAAATCTCCCGTACTGGCACCATGCTGTAATACTAATAATAGTATATAATATATACTATATCATGTGTAGAATTATATCATACAGCACCACAGCTCCGTAGCTTGATAGACTGTATACTAGAGCTCCGCAGCTTGATAGACTGTATACCAGAGCTTCGCAGCTTGATAGACTGTATACCAGAGCTCCGTAGCTTGATAGACTGTATACCAGAGCTCTGCAGCTTGACAGACTGTATACCAGAGCTCTGCAGCTTGATAGACTGTATACCCGAGCTCCGCAGCTTGATAAACTGTATACAATAGCAGAGCTCCGCAGCTTGATAGACTGTATACTAGAGCTCCATAGCTTGATAGACTGTATACCAGAGCTCTGCAGCTTGATAGACTGTATACCAGAGCTCCGTAGCTTGATAGACTGTATACCAGAGCTCTGCACCTTGACAGACTGTATACCAGAGCTCCACAGCTTGATAAACTGTATACCAGAGCTCTGCAGCTTGACAGACTGTATACCAGAGCTCTGCAGCTTGACAGACTGTATACCAGAGCTCTGCAGCTTGATAGACTGTATACCAGAGCTCCGCAGCTTGATAAACTGTATACAATACCAGAGCTCTGCAGCTTGACAGACTGTATACCAGAGCTCCGCAGCTTGATAGACTGTATACCAGAGCTCTGCAGCTTGATAGACTGTATACCAGAGCTCCGCAGCTTGATAGACTGTATACCAGAGCTCCGTAGCTTGATAGACTGTATACCAGAGCTCTGCAGCTTGATAGACTGTATGCCAGAGCTCCGTAGCTTGATAGACTGTATACCAGAGCTCCGCAGCTTGATAGACTGTATACCAGAGCTCTGCAGCTTGATAGACTGTATACCAGAGCTCTGCAGCTTGACAGACTGTATACCAGAGCTCTGCAGCTTGATAGACTGTATACCAGAGCTCCGCAGCTTGATAAACTGTATACAATACCAGAGCTCTGCAGCTTGACAGACTGTATACCAGAGCTCCGCAGCTTGATAGACTGTATACCAGAGCTCTGCAGCTTGATAGACTGTATACCAGAGCTCCGCAGCTTGATAGACTGTATACCAGAGCTCCGTAGCTTGATAGACTGTATACCAGAGCTCTGCAGCTTGATAGACTGTATACCAGAGCTCCGTAGCTTGATAGACTGTATACCAGAGCTCCGTAGCTTGATAGACTGTATACCAGAGCTCTGCAGCTTGATAGACTGTATACCAGAGCTCTGCAGCTTGACTGACTGTATACCAGAGCTCCGCAGCTTGATAGACTGTATACCAGAGCTCCGTAGCAGTGAATATCTCAGAAATGTATGTGTACAAAGAGTTAAATAGCAATAAAACCCACTGAAATGTGTCTTTAAACTATAGTAATTGTGTTTAGAAATTAGTTTGTGTGACTTCCCAATTACATAAATGTCTGAGTGATTCTATCTGTCCTTTTTTTTATAGTTCTGCAGTGATAATTAAATGAGAATTATGCAAAATGCACACTTTAGGGTTGAATCGATTTGTCTGGAAGATTTGCCAGGTGAGTTCCTCTGAGATCTCCCTCTTCTAACACTGTTACAGTAATACAGGTTGGGAAAAAAAAGACTCAAGTTAATCAAGTTCAACCTTTCACGTCTCTCTCATTTCTCCTGTTGGCAAAAAAGAATGTGAAAAAAATAATTTGAATAATTTCTAACTGGGCTAACAGGGAAAAAAATTCTGTGAATTCAAATTAGCAATACTATGTGTATTAACTATTTCATCCCTGAATATCCTGCTCTCCCAAGCAGACGTCAAGGATTTAAATATATTCCCTCAATTTGATTTTTAAAAAAAAAGGAATTCCAAATCTTTATGGTTTTTACTCAATAGCCATCCTTTCTCCAAGTCTCATTTTATGTAGGATTTTATACAGTCCTGTTAATGATCAGGTCAGCAGTTTGTTCTGATCCTCTGAATAATTGCATAATGTTATTCCCTTTAAAACTTGTACCCAGAGTTACCCAGAATAATACAGGGACCTACAATTGCTTAACGAAAAGGCAAATTTATATTTCCATCCTCCAATTTAACAGCTCTTTTCGCATTGTGCAATATGTTGTCTATAATCATTCCTAGATCATTCTTCTTTAGTATATACCTATTCCATTGGTTCCTTTTGCATATGCTGCAGATGTTTCCCCATCCCAAAATACGAGTTCTGTCCAGAAAAATCCCAGCCATTGTTAATATAATGAGAACGGTTTGCACGACATCGATGTAACCTGACAGCCAAGAAGAGTGGACTGGAATGCGCATGCGTGAACAATGACGACTCCGACCGAGTACCTCCGCCAATCGATGCTCCTACTGCTTTCCGAGGGCTCCAAGCACTCCACCAGACACCATAAGGAATGTAGACCCCACAAACCGCCGCAGCTTGGTTGGGGTCTCGCCATCCTCCACCCACCTTGGACCCAAGACCAGGATCCAGCTCCCAGTGGGTAGACCTCTCCTCCTCTAGAGAGTGTATCAGGAACAGCTCTTAGAAGAGCTAGTGATTATACTCAGTGGAGTATAGTGATTATAGCAATCCCCAGAGTGTAGTTCCCCAATCCCCCAAACATGAGCCAAGACTTCATGAAGGGGTAAAGAAGGTCTGTTTAATGCAAGCAAGCACTTACAATTTATACATACTGTACATTTAAACCCCCAACAGCCTCATTTACATACAATAGGTTACATAGAGCACTATAGTACAAGGAAGGGTAGGGTCAGACAATAGCAAGGGCTGATGGGAGATTGAGGAGGGACAAAGCAGCCAGTTTAAACTGGTCTGGCAGTGTCCCTGGGCCAACACCCTCCTGGGGAAACAATAGGACAGGAAAAAGGGGGAGGGGGAGAGGCAGAGACAAGCAATATATTCAACATACTCCTCCTCTGTGTCTGAGAG